TTGTTTAAAATTATTCTCAGAACAGTTGAGAATACTTGCATTACATGGCATGATTCATTTTGGTTTTGCATTTTTTTCCCCATGAGTCTTATCAAACCAAATTTTTTTTTTTTTCATCACCCTTCCCACCCAATCCCAGGAGCAAATGTGTTGAGTTTTGCTGTTGGCATGGATTTTAATTTGTTTTCCACACCCTGGTGCAAAATAGCGTAACAACCTGCCCCTCTTCCTTGGAAAAGGTTGGAGAACAGGCGTATATTGGTTATGATAGTTTAGTTCAAAAAGGACACCTCCATGATCAGTTCTGCTAATATAAACATACTCTAAAGTTTACGTTTAAGCTTCATACATAGAATTCCCTGCAGAATGCCAGCTGAGCTACAGTTGTTTTGCAAGACCAAGATCCTTGAATTTGATTAATTTCCCCTTAACCCTCCTACCAATAAGTTTGATGTTTCTTAACTCCTTTTAGGACCTGTCACTGAAGTGTTAACCACAGAGCAGGGAAATCTGCATGGTAGATAAGCCCTCAAATTCATCCCTCCTCCCTGCTGAAGACAGTCAGTGCTGAAGATGCCTTTGATGGAGGTGCCTGCCCATTCATTTGCCCACAGAAAGGTAGCATCATAGTAACAACGAGAGCTGTACTGTCTTTTTTAAACAAGTCGTGGTGGAAGCAGCTCCTACCACAGCACAGGAAGAAAGCACTACCCTGGTGCAGAACCACCCTGCATTTAACGAGTCCTTAGATATCTTGATTATTTACTCTTTGGCCCCAGATGCTGCAGAGGGACCAGCGGGACTTTGCATGCAATTTCCTTTGATTTCAGTGCAACTAAAAGAATGATCAGGCCTAGGTGCTATTTTGCTCAAAGCTGATGTTGCAAACGCAATGGCTTTTGTCAATCGGGGAAGAAGGGGAAAGAGAAAAGGGAAGGAAAATATTCTTGTGAGAGTCTGGGCCTACAGACAACCAGAAGTTCTGGCAAAACTCCAACCAGAACCCTACAATAAAAATAGCAGATATTTTAAAAAATTGCATATAAAATTGTATAAAAATATCATCCAAGCGAGAGGAAGAGGAAAAAGAAAAGGGTCACTCTGTCATTCTACTGCTAGGCTTTATCCTTAGAAAACCTCAATGGCCATAAGTAGTTTTGTCTGCTAAATGCACTCCTACGACCACCAGCAGAGACAATGGTATATGTACATTCCTCCTACCACTGGATAGCTTTAAACCTGGGTTGAGATGAGTACACAGCAGTGACACATATGTATTAGGGAGAAAACAAAAGGAGACAATGCCAGGAGTGTGCTGTGAGGTTTCTGAGTGCTGTTGTGCACTTAGGCATTAGAGTCAATCCACTAAAACTGAGCTCTGGGTTGGGAAGCCATGATGGCTACAGGTCCTGAGCCAGCTGCTCTGAGAGCAGCTCCATTTGCTTCTATATCGTGCTCAGGTTGCCAGAGAAGAGAGAGATGCTGCTGCTGTGAAGGAGGCACAGAGGACTGATAATGTGTGCTGCAGTGCTACCTGGGCACAGGTGAGAACTTTCCATGATTGTTCTGGGTGAAAAACAGACACTAGGACAAAGAGACGGCAGGCTCAGCAAATGGAGGTGCATGGCCTGCATTCTTTTCTAACAGAAAATGGCAGCATCAGCATTGGTTCTACTTTTACAACAGCAAACAGGGAGAGGGCTGGCTGGAATGGCAAAGCCCCTGGGCCTATGGAAGCAAAGTGAGCACTGCATTAGGATGCACACCTGCAGTCAAACCAAGAATGGGACACACCTGCTGATGCCACAGCACCTGCTTTGGAGGGAGCAGACTTTGCACCCTGAAATACAAAGCATTTTCCCCTCCCTTCTACCCACAAGATGCAGCTGGCAGTTTGCACAGTCTGTGTTGTCAGGGCTCACTCTTGTCATCAGCAAGGGAGGCCCCGTTTCGGAGTGCTTACACTCAAACATCGCCTCTGAGACAGAGCACCACTGGTCCAGCACATGCACAGCTCCATTCTTTTTAATCACTGGGTGGGGTGGTGGATCCAAAGAGTGACAGAGAACACTTGATTACGCTGTCATTTGCTGAGCATCACTGGCAAACATCCAATATGTATCATCAGAGGAGGATGAGCTCCATTATTATGAAATAAACTGGGAGGAGAAAGGAGCCGATATGGAATTATTTCAGACCATCTCATGAATTTCTAAAGATGGGCTACTTAATTGTAGATGAGGCTTCAAAAGTACTGTCCTTGTCAGTTTCCATCATTTCTGATTGGAATGGATTACTACGCTTTTTAATTTAAAACCAGACCCGCTTTAGAATTCGCAAGGACTGACAATGGAAGTGCTTGTTGTTGCCTTCCAAAGCAGCTTTTCACACAGTGCTGCATCCTACATAGCCTGAAAGCATTTTGCTTCCAGACTGATCTTGTAAAGCCTTTGTATGTACCTATGCAATTGGCATATTCAAATGGCAGTTTGTAAAAACACAACGCTCTACCATTTTTCTCTGCCATAACCAACCACGTTTTGGGAAATTTCCCTCCGATCAGAAAATTTATGTTTGAAAAAAGCAACACTGAGGAAAAAGGAATTTTCTTCTCTCATTTATCCATCAGGAACCAAGCTCCCAAAATCCAGATTCGTTCTGCTGCTAAACCTTCTACTGCATTGATACGTGGGGAGTAAATCTAACAGCTGAGGCTATACAAAGTGGCTGCACTTTCAGGTAAGCATCAGCCTGCTTAGACTGACTACTGGGAAATACATTTAAAACAGCAAAATTTCCTCTTCATCTGCCACCTATTTTGCCACCTACAACAACAACAACAACAAAAGGTTTCTGGCATTGATCTCCTTTCTCTAACATGGAAAACAATGTTAATATACATCATCTTTATAAGGGAACACAAACATCTGACCATGTAACTTGGAAAAGAAAGGCTGTGCTGTTAGTAAGGAAAGCTTTGTCATTAGAAAAGGTAAAAAAAAAAGAACTTTTCATGTGTAAACACTTTTTGCGTGCTCTCACACAAACAAATAATTCAAATCATCAAATAAGTGCAGCTCAGAGAACCGCCACCCTTCATCCTTTGAGCCATTTAAATAATGAACAGGGTAATAACCATAATTTTTTTCACTTTTTTTTTTTTTTTTTTTTTAAATTATGGAGTGTGCAGGAGTTCAAGCACTACTACATCAGCAGGAGCCAAAGGTCTGCTAATTCCCTGAATACCAGCTCCAGATAAAGTAGAGAACACTGACAGGTTTACCTGCAACCATGTCCCTGCCTGTCTCTAGAGGGTGTCTGGATTCACCCTCTGGCATCACACCACGGGTTCTGGGATGTAAGGGATGCCTGGTGCTCCTCCAGCAGAGCTCTCTGAGACCAGGAGATCCCTTTGTGCCTGCCTGAGGGGCCTCCCGAAGAACTCCTCATGATGCCAGCCCGCAGCCAGCAGCACGGGCCCTTCATTTGCAGTACTTCTGTCTTATTCCTTACTTGTGCACTCTGAGGCTGGAAAAAGAAGGCATCTAAAAACATAGTTCCTATATATCCAGGCAAAAATTAGGTAAGGATGCAACAACAGAAATCCCTTGCTTTTAATAGAGAGAGACCATGCCACTAGCTAATAAAGACCTAATCCTTTTCCTCTTTTCTTTTTTCTTTCATGGAATAAAGTAAGAGAAAGCAATTCTGCTTCTTTTTTTTTTTTTTTTTTTTTTTAATATTTATTACTTTTTTACACAATTGCACAGTGGCTGATCTCTAGTTGTACTGGGAGGTGTCTAAACATACAGCTCCTTGGCTCACAGTGCTCTGGCACAGTGCTGCAGAGTGTTCCAGGGAGGCAAGGAGTCTGGTACAGTAACATGGCAATGATCTGGGAAGGGAACTCCATGACACATCCTTTCATCTGGCCTGGTTCCTCTGTAGGATCTCAATTCCCAGATTTCACTTTATACATTTCCAGACTAATAGAAAAGATCTCATGGGGAATTATTTTATTTTAAGTGACAATGAAAAAAATTCCAAAAAGTACTACTAATCCACAGTATCAAGTTCAGATGACTTTAAAAGGGCAGAAAAATATCAGAGCTGTGACTGCCTGCCTGTGTTTTGCAAGGCATTTTCTGCACATCTGTGCGCTGAAATCACCGATTCTCTGACTATAGCATCTCATATAGAGCAGTACCCTGTTCTTACCTGCAGTCCCAAGAGACAGCAAGTCAACTGCTTCTTTTATAGTTCTTACCAGTGGCCAATAATCCTGGCAACACAGGTAAAACCTTTTCCAGCCTGATCTCTCACCTTTGTGCAAGCGCATGAGAAGTAAGAACTGACAGGCTGTGAATTAAGCCATCTTGCTTTGCTGTCTGAAAGAAGTCAGTCCCAGAAAGAAAGAAAGCAAAAGCAGATGAAGAAAAATATTTACTTTTTATTATTATTATTATTCTACTGGGCACGATGTAGGTATCTTTAGTCACTGTATGTTAGGTAAAGGTAACTTTAAAAGTATTAAAGTATACTAAACCATCCTGCACCAGTGACCAAGCTCTCGGGCAGGATATGTTCTCCTTGACTCCAGGAGGTCTGACTCAGCAGGGACTGAATCACTACTGTGGTGTTTCATTTGCAGTAGTGATATTTCATAGGCAACGTCCCTCCAAAGAGCCTGGTCAAGGCTGGAAGTCAGCCTGCCGCTCTGAGCTGGGGCTGAATGCTGATGGTGGAGGAAAGGGGAGGTGGAAAAGTGCTACAAGATGATACAGCCTTTCCCTGACACACCTCCTTTTATCAGCACTCCTTTCTTCACAAAATCTACCCCAGGATACACCCAGAGCTACTGCTGAAGCAGGACACTGTGTGCCCTCATATTTATTTTATTTAAAAGAGCTGGTACACTGATGCCAATGGTGAGACCCAGGAACTGCAAGAGTTACTTTCTCACATCTTTCTTCTGAAAACATGATTTCAGTGCAACGGCATGAACCTAATCTAAGTCTCTGGCTTTCACCACATGGTGCCCAAAAAGAGAACTCAAAATGTCCCTAGTCTCAATAACTAAAATCTCAAATACAAACACTCCTGAGTGAGAAGGTACTCACGTTCAAATGCAGATTTAGGCTGAGCTAACTGCTGTGATGTTTGCTAGCTTTAGGTGAAGCTCGGCCCTTGTACGTACACAGCTTAAGCAGGAACAGAGAACCAAGCTCTAATATAGGCTGGTGGTGAAGTCCTGTGCTTCTGAATATGAAAAAGAAATGCCAAAGAACTGCCTTCCTAAGCCAGTGTTTACACGTTCTCTACACAGCATAGAGCCATGACTGCCATCCGATTCCTTGTGAAATACATTTATGACTAACACAGCACAACCTTATCCTGAATAAAAAGGAGATAGGCAAAAACAACTGTATGTGTAAATACGTGTGCCTCGGTTTCCAAAAGACAGGTAAAACTGCGCACAGTTAAATGGATCCTTACTAAGATTCCAAGGCAGAAAAACACTTACAAACATTTGCTGTTTCTCATAAAAATATACCCTCCTGAATCGAAGCCTGAGTGAGGAGGTTTGTCAGCATTTCTTCCCTGAAATAGGCCAAAATGATGGCTACTGTCCGTGTGTCTGACTCTACTGGATGAGACAGCTTTATCCACCGACTCCAGGCATGTGTTTAGGACACACGTCTTCATTTTGTTTTTGTCTCTACTTCTCCAGCCACACTTTTCCTTCCTTTGGCCTGTCCATTCAGTCAGTGATGAAAGAAGTATCACACTGAGATGAAGGTAAGAATCGTTCCGTGTGATTCCCCGCTGCCCTTCTTCTCTTAGGCCTTCAGGACAGACAAAGTAGTTACTGGTAGCCAACGAGCAGATGTGGGAAACTGCTCATTATCTGTAATCCCAAGTTAAGTCAGGTACCTCAAACAGTACATTAGTACGTGCTCTCAGAGGCTGACAAAATTTGCCCCAAAGGAATATCACTTTCATTGATTCTTTCTCTCCTTTTACTAACTGCAAATGCACTATAAAATCAAGGGTTGAGTGAGTCTGCCTACTTCTGTTTCGAAACAAAAGCATTTTGCTATCGTTGCATTGTCTGTGATAAGCAAATGGCAACTTGACTACAAATTCAACATTCTTACGCATACAATCTTCTACAGCAAGGGTAAAACGGACGTCAAGTTCTGTCTACCACCAATTGGAAAAATCTCTTGGGGAAAAGCAAAAACAATAAAAGGGAAATATTATCCAGTGAAGTATTACTACAGTCTCATTTTCTTAGGTTCTTTTGCAACATCTTAATATTGTGATTTTGCAAGCTGAGGCATAACAGCAAAGGGCAGTACCAGCTTTTGAAGATGACTCGTCTGTGTGCTCCACCTGTCCATAAAATTGAACCAATTGCATCAGAAAATCACCAGATTTTTTTAAAACAAAACAACTTCCCGAAACAACAACAAATGCACACAAACATGAACAAACAAAACTAGATCACACCCCAAAAACCAATGCCCCCACCCTAGAGCCCAGAGTCATTAGCTGTGAAATAGCCAGTGGGAGGAGGAGTGTTTTGGAAGTTGTTTAACGCCTTCCCCGGAAACTGGTCTTTGCGGAAGGAGGAGGAGAACAGGAATGAAGAAGCTCGGCTAAAATGATGAAAGAAATGTGCAGTCTCTTTTTTTTTTTAATATATTTTTACTCTTCTGTATCTGGAAAAAAAAAAGAAAGAAAAAGAAAAGTGTCAAATGCTGCCTTTCTCCCCTTCATCCAAGGAATGGGTAATCTGAGGAAGAAAACGGAAGGACAGTTTAGACAGCCTCATTCACTCAAAGCAGTGTAGTTTTCCTCAACTGCTGAAAAGGCCAAAATGTCAGGTGCAAAAAAAGCTACACTTCTTATTGACTCGACTGGAAATTCCATTCTGTTTTACACAAAGCGAAATCCATTGCTGTCTGGCTAATCCAGCAGAAATTAAACCTTTGGAACTACTGGAATCATGGAACAGAATTCAGCCTTCTTTGCCTTAGAGCTCTCCGATCACCCTTGTTCACTACCTATTTCGGTACTTTTTTGGTCATAAAAGTAACAATAACATACATATGGTTTGGACTGACAAAAAGAATATGCTCCAATCACAAAGGTGCACTAGCTTTTAAAAAGCCCCTTTCTCTCAAATGGTCTGCAGTGAAAAGCAGAGCCTCACAGATGGATGCATATGTGAGAACTAACAAAGGATGTTCACATTACAGTCTGCCTGACTCCTCTGCAACTGAAAGCTAACTCAATACAGTAAGTGTAAAACCACATCACTGGTCAGATCATGATGGCCTGTGAATTTGGTTGTCACTTGTTGATCTCCAGAAGCCATTTGCCCAAGGTAGCAAGAAACAACATTGGTCTTTTTATAGCACTGTGGATAATAACAGTATCACCAACAGGAAATAATAAAGAACAAAAAAATTACAATACCTATTGGTGGAGCAAAGCCATATCTTTATTGACAGTGACCAGCCCAAATAAGATACAACAGGTTCATGAAGTCCAGGGACAAGGCCAAAAGCAGTAACAAGAAATGTTGTCAAAGCAGCACATTCACAACAGAAACAAAAATATCCCTATTCCTGGCAGGAGGAGCTTGTCAGACTTACCCTTAGCCATAGTGTAACAACAGGATGTCCTCCTCTACAAGGAACTTAGGACAAGTCAGGTATGTATGGGCAAGTTATTTATGAAATCATCTCTCACAACAGAGGTATGATCCAAAAATATGCAGGGACCCACTTAGAAATTTGCCTCTGATAGATATTTAGAGATTTGACTTAGATAATTAAAATTCCTAACCTCTTCAGAAGCCCAAACCCAAATCATTTGAAGCTAGCAGAATGAAATCTATGGGCAAATACTAGCAACTCCCTCAGCCTCAGAATTTGTCTGACTAACAGTACCTGGAATGCACAAATGTAGCTGATTTCTATATAGTTATGCATACCATGAATTAATTTCACAATGAACAGATTTCCTTGAGATAGAAATGTGGAAAATAAAATTTCTTCTTTATTTCTAATGAAAGAAGACAGTTTCTAATGGAAGAGGATACTATCCATCCCTTCTTACATGTCCCCCAGAAATCTTCTGGAAAAGCATCAAACAGGAACAAGAGTATTTCACTCTATATCAACCAAACAAGTTCTCTGAATACATGTGGCATTCTGCTTAGATACATTTATTCTGAACTACACTTTTAGCAGTGGAGTTGAAAGTGCTTTTGAAAAGATCTCTCAGGCAAAGAGATTCAATCCAAGGAGACATGAATTTACCTGTAAGGCTGCACAAGCCTCAGAAAATGATGAGATTAGAATCTCTGCGTCCCTTTCAGAAAGCCGGTTTCTTTAGACTCTAAGAATATGGTTCTGGGTTTTTTTGTTTCTTTAGGCGAAGGCAAAAGGAATCAACAAAACAAAGATGTGAGACTCTGCTACCAGACTGCGTTATGCCTGATGAATGAGTAGCAGTGGTTGCTGAATCATCTGAACCAGAGCTCCAAGTGCCACTTAACCCTCCCTTCCATTCCTATGCCATCCATACTCTCAAGACTTTTAACCTCTCCCATCCCCTTTAATGAAACAGGGAAAAAATGTGATGTTTTTATGCAGACTAGAAGCTCCCTGTGGAGACCTGAGTCATACATTGTTTTCTGGCTCCTATTAGTCACATCATCAGCTTAAGTCAGAACATTCCAGTACAGCCCTTGCTTTGAACTGTTTTTCTACTTGGTGGAGCAAATGCATTGGCTTCCTAGCTGAGTTTCCCTTTGGATACAACATAGCTTCCCTAAGACTACCTTAACCTCAGATATGATTCAACCTCTTTTCCAATTCAGAACAACAAATCCAGTGCAAATATTAGGATATATTAATAGAGCTAACTGGAAGAGAAAAAGAACAAATATGCAGTGCTGTGCATGCAGAAGACTTGTAGTTCACTTGGCATGTATTGAAATTCTTCATCTGAAATAGCCTCCTTTGAATGCACATCTCTGCCCTTCAGCATCGTCGTCAAATTTATTTTGTGTGTCAGGGTTGAGTACTGGCCCTCCCCTTCACCACAAACAGAAATGCCAGTGACTTCTACAGCCTTTCAGGAGGTACCAGCACGCACTGCAAGGTTATGAAGTCCATCCCTGCTATCAGCTTCCAGTTAACACCAGGGAATTTTTAACATGTGTTCAATGGAACACAGATGCATATATTTACTACTTTACTACACAGTCTGTTGCACTGAAGTGAAAATATACTGCAGTTTGTCTTTTCCTTCACACAGAATTGCTCAGCATACAACTGTATGCATACAGCAAAGAATCTGGATGCCAGTTTTGCACAACCTGTGACTCATCTCACACACGATCTCTCCTCCTTTTGTGATAAAACAAATGTTTGGGGGTCCAAGACCTTACCAGAACTAGCCCTTGTTGGCACTTATTATGCTCATCTAACACAAGCTTTCACAGCCTGCTACCCAGCTGGAGAACAGGAACAGACAGATCCTTGGAGGCACTCTGGTGGAGATGAGAGTTTAGACTGAGTCAAAAACTACACCTGCTCTGCAATGAGTCAGGCTCCTTGCCGAGCCTACGTCACAGGCATTGCTCTGCTTGCATCCGCTGGAAGTCAGCAGCCAACCTTCTCCACATGCCTTCTGAAGGGCCTGGCTCAGCCTCTCCAGCCAGGACCTGCCCTCTCCCTGCACCACAGAGTCATGGAATCGCTTGCACTGAAAGGCCCCTGAAAGACCACCTGGTTCCAACTCCCATCATTTTCTCCCAAGTCACCAGAACCAAAGGGCTGTCCAGCACAGCTAGGGACGATGCCACGTTCTCCATTGCAGGGCTGTGCTGCGAGGGCAAGGTCAAAGTATATGTGTTTCAATTGCATTTAAGAGAAAATGCTCTGATCTCCTCTCCTAAAAGCTGGATGCTACATGTAGGCTATGTGGCAGTGGAACATGGAATGAGGTTTTAGGTTTTCTACACAGACTACCTAGCTTGCCTGGGAGAGCAACAAGACCAATACCAACGTCAATCACAAGTTTTTGAGGTTATTCTCAGTCCCTGTTTCCTCTTCTCAAGGATGTGTTTCTTCAGCAGTACAAGCTATACTCATTAATAAAGGATGCACAATGATACCACAGTCATCCAGGAGTGCACACTCCCTTTTTTTTTCCAAGCAGATGAAGGTAACCTTGCAGTTTATTGGTGAAAAAGAAGTATGCAGCGTGTAAAAATCTCAACTTCTAAACATGAAACTGCATGAGCACTCCTGTAGGACAACAGAACTCTACCACGCTGCCAAATAATGTTGCCCTTGAGGTACCACTATCCCAGGGCATTTCTGACTTTGGGTTTTAATACGCATCAAAATTAACCATATTCACTTTTAATAAACTACCTATGTGAGTGACATGTCATGCTATTATGATACAAAATCATAAAAAAAAAAGCAACCAAAAATTTCAGCATCTTTTTTTGTATTTTTTTTTATATTTTGTTCTTTAAGAATTAAAGAAAAAAATAATCTTATTAAAATCAGATTCTCTCACTGCATCCCAGCAACTAAAGTGCATGTGACACCAACTGCCTGTTTTATGTTCTAACACAAGCAGTGTATATCAGAGGGGTGTCACTTTCAGCAAAGTCGAATGGGCAAAATTGATGCACACAATAATTTTTTATCCTGAAAAGGAAGAGTTGTGGGAAGAGTGTAATAAAGGATAAATGAGAGACACTGAGAAGATCAGCAGGGAACAGTATTCACTGTTTCTCACAGCGCAGGTAGTGGGTTATCAAATGTAATTATCAAGCAGTAAATTTGAAACAAATAAAAAGATGTGATTTTTCATATAACACCTAAGCGAACGTTAAATTATGTTTCTTCAGAGTGCTGGGTATGTAAAGAGTACTTAAAAGAGGACTCTAAAGAAAATTAAACAAAGTAATAGAAGAAAAATCCATCAGAGGCTATTCAAGATTTGTCCTCTGCATTAGATTCTGTGGAAGAAAAAAGGGTTTAGGTTTAAAGTGCTGCTCTCTTTTTATTATTTCTTCATTAAAGTCTCTGCTATGAAAAGTTGTAAAGTGCTTGACAGAGAGCTAAAGGGCATTCTGGACTGACCCACCAAGGTTGTTTGAATATTCCTAGGTAAGACAATACAGTGTTGGGAAGTAGCCTCTATGCTCACATATTAAAATAAAACAGAACAAAGCCCATCAAAACAGATGTAAAAAAAATCACAGAATCCAAGAATGGCCTGGGTTGCAAAGGAGCACAATGCTCACCCAGTTCCAACCCCCTGCTGTGTGCAGGTCACCAACCTGCAGCCCAGGCTGCCCAGAGCCACATCCAGCCTGGCCTTGAATGCCTGCAGGGATGGGGCATCCACAGCCTCCTTGGGCAACCTGTTCCAGTGCCTCACCACCCTCTGGGGGAAAAACTTCCTCCTCATATCCAACCTAAACCTCCCCTGTCTCAGTTTACAACCATTCCCCTTGTCCTGTCACCATCCACCCTTGCAAACAGCCGTTCCCCCTCCTGTTTCTGTGCTCCCTTCAAATATTGGAAGTATGTGGAAAAATACTACATACATTTGAAAAACAAATAATTCAAGTGTTCAGATTTTAGAGGAAAATATAGAATTTCCCCATCATGTACAAATT